ATTGCGCTTAATACCATTATATTTCTAATACACCGGGTGCACACTATAAGAACCGACACCGTTAAATTAGGAATTTAATTAATTTAATTATGAGTTAAGAGATAAATTCCATAATTGACCTTAAATAATTATGAGAGGGCTTAAATAACTACAATGAGTGATTAATAATGTTGAAAGTCGTTTTTCTGACGAAAAATGCAGATACCGGTTCCGCTCCTCGGTATAAGTGCGTACCGATGAAGTATCTGGAATATTATAATAAGTACATGAATATTCCTAGAATGGAGGAGAAATGAAGTGGAAAGGTGCTCTCTTGGAGCTTCATTGGAGGAGAGAAGATGGGAGAAGGTCGCTGCCTCCCTAGATTCAGAAAATGCTACGTAGAAGATGAAGGGCTGACCTAGGATCATGTGCTCTTGGGTATTTATAGGCACGCTTAAGTTAATCACGCAGTATTAGCGTTAATAGCTACGCTTATCGTTTTAATCTCAAACTTGGGATTCTGAACCTAGCCATTTTTATAAGATTTGTCATATTTTTATTTTATTTTTCGCAGCAACTTTCCGGTACGCGCTTTTCCATAGCCAGCATCAGTTCTCGTCATTTTGACTTGAAACTTATTTTACTAGTCCTACATAATATTCTAGGAATATTCATGTACTTATTATAATTTTCTGGGATACTTCATCGGTACGCATTTATACCGAGTTGCAAAATCGGTATCTGCACTTTTCGTCCGAAAAGCGACTTTCAGCATTCTAATCACTTTCTGTATTTATTTAAGCCTTCTCATAATTATTAAAGGTCAATTATGAGATTATTTCCTAATTTCACATATTTAATTAATTATTTTCCTTAATTAACGGTGCGGGTTCTTACAATAAACCCTTATTAAAATGTGAATCCTATATTTTCAAAAGATTGTAACTTTTGTTCGAAAACCAAAAATCACCGTCAGAGAACAAAATACATAAGATGAAACCCACGTTCAAAAAATAATTCGGGTTATCCTTATGACTCGTGGCTCTGATACCAATTGTAGGAATAATAATTCCTCTTAACCTTATGGTGATAACCATCACTAACAAACCAAGATCCATCATACCAAATCATAAAGAAATATTAACAGAAAGATGGAGACATATTTGTCTCCATAGCAGCGGAATAACTTCGATCTTCATATTTGGGGTATGCGATCTTCCTCAATCAAATAACTCTAATCCTTATTCTTTAGTGTGTTGTCTCTTTCTCTTGATGGGAAAGAGAAACTAGGATTGTTATTTGACATATTGGGGATCATAACCTTTTATAGTATTTTTCTTTATTATTTAGCCAATAAACTCCCATTATACCACCTAATTGGTCCAACACTGGTATCCACTCATTTGTCTCACACTTACTTAGGAATTTATTTGGACATTTTTATTTGATCAATTTAATTTATCCAAAATATATTAATTAGCATAATATATTTATTTATACAATATATAGCCCACAAACACATTAAAAAATATAATTTCCTAAGAATCTCATAATCTTATGTGCGCTCGACAAGAGCTATTTGGGACATATGCACGTGATTTGACTGAATATTGATTTAAAACATTGTGAAGCGGCTTTGAAGCTTTGGTTGATAAAGTCAATGATCAAATTTTTTTTTTTTTTTTTTTTTTTTATAAATCACATATATCTTTTACAGGAATAATGGGGCTAGCTCTCTCAAAAAATTTTATTACCAAATTAAGTATGTTTAAGCCACGAACATTTATACAATAATGGGGCTAGCTCTCTCAAATTATTATTTTTTTATTCACAAGGATTTGAAAACAAAACTTTAATTACTTAAGCAAAATCAAGAATGTACCACTTGAACCAATTTCATTGGTTATCAAATTTCATCTTATTGATGAGAAGTTTTCTTCCTATTTAATCCACGTTGAGATTTTTTGCACCCTATTTTATTAAATATCGAGATTAATTATGATTCTTAATTATTTTTAACTACGTTAATTTGCCATATTTTTAATTAATATAATTACCAACCCTTGAAGTATTCGTCATTTTAATGTTCATGTGTAACATTTACTGACAAATATATCCTTTGATGTGGTAGTGCGTCTTTAATTTGGTAGTGCACAAGATGACATTGGTATTAAAATACTATAAAGTATACAACTAGTGCCAAATGGTGCAAATATTCTCAATGATATTACATGCCTCCAAAAGTCAGTTCATATCAATTATATTACCAAGCATACATATCTTTGTTTGTCAAATTTTTCCTTCCAATCGGTGTTAGTGCATGTCATACGTTTGCAATTTTGATTCACTTCTTGTCATTTACTTTCCTATTACTTGGAATTTAGTATATGAACTTAGTTTCTTTTCTCTCTTGTGACATTCAAATCCCTTTCTCTCTGCTTGTAAAGCTTGTGTCAAGATCTCACGACGGGTCATTGGAAAAATCTAAAGCACATAAAATAAAGACATGGGTGGATATTAGACCCAACAATGTCGCTTAAGGATCAAGTTAAGCAACAAAAAGGGAAGACAAAATTAGTATTAAATAATAAAAGTCATCTGCAGGTTATAGACGCTATTCACCCATCTTAATCCCTTGTTAGTAGAGGTAAAAGAAACGGCATAAAATATGTTGAAAAATTATGAAAATGGAAGACGTAATCATCCCACCTTACATATTCCTGTTGTTAAGAATATTAGATGGTCATTTAACGTTTGTTTTCTTCTATATAGACTTAGTTAACATTCTGAGCAGTCTTTGTCATGGGAAATTATATGTATCACTAGGACCCTGCTTGTCAACAACTTAGAATATATCTATGTTTATATCTTGATTTGGCGCACGTACTTCCCTCTTTTTTTTTTTACTTTGTTTTCTCCTATCCTTGCCCATTACAATGCAAAAACAGTTACTTTTGGCCATCAAACAATGTGAGAATAATCAATCAAATTAATTAAATTAAGCAACTAATAATAATGTAAAGATTGAGGTTCTGATTTTCAAATTGTATGGCAATGTGTGTTAGACACTGCCCTGGAAAATGAAATTATTCGATGGTCTAGGACATATTGATTGTGCACTTGTACTTAAAATGAGAATATAACTCAAATGCTAACCAAGTTCTAAAAAACGAATTATGCTACCATCTCCATGAACTGCCCATGTCAAACTCTGAATCCCAATTTATTGTTTCGATGTGTTTCATTGGGCCTGACTTGTGACCCAATAACTACCTTATGTACCATGTGTGTGAGCGCATGTGTTTGCGTTAGAATATCCTTATATGAATACCATAAGTTTGTTTTCAATATATATATATATATATATATATATATATATGTATATATATATGAGTTTGATTTTCTCATGTTAAATGAGAATTCAATTCTCATGTTGTAGAGATAAAAAAACATGTGGGACCCAGGTGTTAGAAAAAATTATATGTAGGACCCATGTCAGCACGGAAATCGAATGGTGTGTAGGAAAATTTGAATTCTCATGTTAAATGAGAATTATAAAACCCATATATATATATATATATATATATATATATATATATATATAATAAGAAACAGGTTTAGAAAATTACTAAAATAATGGAATATATAAATATATAATGGGTGCGAGGAAATTATTGTAAAAAATTGACCTAGACTTAGAGTTTAATATACAAACCTACTTATTGTCCGTGTGTGCATTCAGTCATAATAAATAACTGGAGATATTATCAATTAATTGAGGTTGACCTTTGAGTTTTTCTATGATTATAAAAGATCATAAACTTCTCAATTTGAAATGTACATGAATTGTTTTCATCAACACGCATTAAATTTTAATGAGTTTTGTTAATATTTTCCATCTAATAAAAAATTAAAATTATTCATATAAAGTATAAATATTTAATATTATAAAATAAAATAAAATTTCATTTTTAAGTAAATAAGATAGTTTAATAAAAAATAAATATTGGTTTTATATTTTAATATATACCCTAACTATACACGTTGCTTATACTCTTTTAGTATATCCTATGAATAACAATTAATTAAATACAGCATTTATGTTGTCAGGTTCAATTAACATCATGGTAAATGATATTTTTTTTTTCTTTCCCCACCTAATTTGAGGGCGCATAGACTATTCTCTTTAATTTTTTTTGGGTAAGTTTTTTTTTTTATTATTGATTTCATTATTTTAATTATTTCTTTGGGCCAAATCAGGTTTACCGGGTATGGGAAAAGAAGCCCCCCTCAAATATGAAACTAATCACAAATCAAACGACTATAATAATTATTCAACTTTGAACCAATATTTCTCCACGGGATTCGAACATATGACAAAGTGCAAAGCGAACTGTTTTGTGTTTACCATGTAAATATCCTAGAAACGAATTGAGGAAAGTGAAAATTCATTGGCTACTTTTGGATCAAAAGAGAAAGCACAAGATCAATGAGGAACACTGACAAATGCACTTGATTGTGAAGAGAAACAGTTCTGCAATTAACATTACAATTTCTATCAATAATTGTCTGCAAACAGAAGCAAAAATATTGATGGCTTCTTCTGAACCGATGGAATCCTCTGAATTTCATGAAGAACTTTCAAACTGTGACGGGAGCGCATATAAAAAATAAAATAAAATAGTGAGACAAAAAATAATAAGCAAGGTGGGGCAAAAGATCTTATCAACATCCATGATTTTGTCGAGCACAATCTAGAGCCTCTTCTTTTGTGGGACCCTTAAAGATTTTCTGTCACATTAAAGTCTCTATATAACATCATCTTCATTCCCCTCCTTAAGTCCACCTTCCCCTCTCTTTTTTTCTTTCTTCATTTTCAAGCCCCATTAGCTGCATACACTTTGCCCTATTTCTCAATCCTAGCTATTTTTCTGCTTTATCTTTGTTTCTAGGTTTAAGCATATCAAAAAGCTCAAAGGGTTTATAGCACATTGACCTATTCTTCTTCTTGGAACAATATGAAGGAGGGTGGTAAAAAACAAGGTGCAATGTCACCATGTGCGGCATGCAAGCTTCTTCGAAGAAGATGTGCTCAGGATTGTGTTTTTGCTCCTTATTTCCCTGCTGATGAACCCCAGAAATTTGGCAGTGTCCACAAGGTTTTCGGGGCTAGCAATGTCAACAAAATGTTACAGGTTCATTTCGATCTCATTCATGCACCTCTCATATCACAAACATGTCCACGCGTGAAATTTCTGTCATTTTCATGAAAATATTAAAGTATAATACTTTTTTCATGACAAGTCATTTTCTTCATGTAGAAATAGAGTAGGTAGGTGTAGGTTCCTTTCAACATTTTTATTCTTACAAGTTCTTTTGTTAAGTAGATCGAATGTTAAGAAGGCTTGTTGTAAAAGCGGTATATATATATATATATATATATATATATATATATATATATATATATATATATATATATATTGACAATTATACATATGGGAGAATCATAATAATCTAAAGAAAGTGTGGGAATTTTTTTGTAAAAGAAAAAGATGCTGCTAATTACTTCTTCTCAAACTGTATATTATTGCAATAGAGCTCAAGTCATGACATTTATCTTTGGTAGATATATTCACTCTAAATAAAAGACAATTAGGTGATAACGCGAGATTTTATATTTAACACACTCTCATGTAAATTAAGTTTAAAGTTTGGTCAATTTACATGCTCATCCAACCTTGTGCTATAATTTAGCTTTTATTTAAGGTGTGTTTGAGAAATTTTATAAATTAATATCTTAGTGCAATGAGATCAGCTTTAAAATATAAGGGTATTTGATACGTATCGAAATTTTTAAAAATTGGTTCTTGTGGAAACCAACTTTTAGATAAAATTAGTTCTTCAAAAAATTATTTCCCTGTTAGTTTTTTCTAATTTAATTACTTTTATACTCTCTCTTTCTTTTCCTTGTCCCTTTCACTCTCCTTCAGGTAGATTCAAGGATGATTATTGAGTGGTCAATAAGTATTCTTAGTTTTCTGAATTTAAATAAATTTAAATTAGATTAGATATGAACTGATTTAAAATAAATATCACCAAATTCAATTTAGTTATAACTAGTTTCAAAATTAATTGAATCTATATGACTGGTCTTAAATAATTCCCAACCAATTGTGATAGTTGTCAAATTGTCCGTAGAGCAACAAAGGTTGAACTCTAAAGTATATTGTTATACAAGTTTTGACACCGTATATTATAAATAAATTATTTCAATAATTATTTAAATTAACTGTTGCACTAAGGTACATAAATAATTTAATACTTAACAACTTTGCATATAATTTCTCTAAGAGAACTAAAACTTGCTCAAGTCATAATACTTAACTGTTATTATGACTTGAAAATGGACACTGAACCCACTTCAAAGAAAATTTGCTACCGATCTCCAAAAAAAAACTACCCTCTCTACATACTTCTTTCTAATTTCCTTAATTGCACAGGTTGTTACAAACAATATCTGCTTTCACAGATCATGAGTCTATTAATTAGGTCCTTATTAGCCTATTGATATATCATAAGCTATTATGCTATTTTTAAATTGAAAGTAGTTTCCAATAAAAGTGAAAAGGATATCTTTCTTTTGCTTTTCCCATATTTACTTCCGTTATAGTGGTTAATTACAGTTGATGACCGGCCCTACAGTCCCCACTTTTAATTCACTGTATATAATTCTCATTCAACTTTGTTAAAAGTATATTATATTAGTAACCCAAGACTTTTGGTATAGTGGCGTCCCAACTAGACCTTAAGATTTTACTTGTCTAAAGGATAATGAATTCGATTCCTGAGAGTCTCAATTTCCAATGAGGGTAAAGAGGTTCAAGCTTGAAATCAGATTAGTACTTAAATCTTAAGATTTGACTTGCTTAAAGAATAATGAGTTCAAATTCTGAGAGTCCAAATTCCTAAGGAAGGTAAAAAAAGCTCAAACCTAAAACTGGATTAGTGTAGCCTATATTAAAACTTGGATACCGATTCGTAAAAAGGGCCGACCCAGTTCAAATACCCACTTCGTGATTGAAAAAAAAATTATATTAATAATACATCATATGATTCCTTAGCACATATAAAGAGTAAAAAGGATCAGGTGTGTATATAAATTAACTTTACTACTTGAAATCCACACTCAGTGTGAAGAGGCTAAAGTAAAAAAGATGTTGTTTGCTTCATTATTACTGGTGGTTATATACACATCCCAATTTGTTCAACATCTCTCTTTATGACCACCGCTTGGCTTCCAGTCTTGGACTCCTTGTGCAATGATATTTCAGGGAAAAAGAGAGAGAATAATTAGTTTGCACACCTTTTCTTTTGTCTGTAGAACAAGGGTTATACTGATAGTGACCCGTACATGTCCAAAAATGATGTTGATTCCCCGGATAAAGATATTTCATCTTCTGAATAAATTATGTTTAGAAAATTTTGTAAGCATGATGCGTTGATGACATACTGACTACTTTTTTCTTTCCTCTAGCTAAGACATGTATATATTAGCAGATTAATATATGATAATCAATTACAAGCATGCATGGACAAGTATGTATTCTTATAGGTGTCTTTAGTGTATATATGTGTGTGTGTCAGAGAGAGACTCTAAATATCTAACATTTTTGTGGTGTTGCTTGAATCGAGTTAGATTACCGCTCGAATAATAAGATTTTTTTTTTTTAAATACCGTTAAGCAAGTCAAGAAGAATGTATCCTTATTTAAACTTGAATAAATTAAATTCATTAATTTTAAACCATTACCCTAAATTCCAGAATACAGCGGCCGAGAAAAACAATTGCAATTTCGGTCACGACAAAAAAGAATAAAGAATTCAATGGCTTGTTGGGACATTATGATTTGTATACATTGTTTTTCTAGTGTTATGATTTTGATGCTATTGTATATTGTCTCTAGTCAACTATATAATATTTTTACTTTCCCCTCCAAAATAACCAACTTCAACATTCACCTTATCATATAAAGAGGTCCTTTTTGACTAAGCATCCGATCTATTTATATACAAGCGACCCCTTTGATTTACATCATATCTTCACTACAAATTCAAAAAGCTAGTATATGCATCTAGGTTAAAAAATTCACAAGTGGACAGGATAGCCTCCCCTTTACGATCAGTTTTATATTCTTCCCTGTAATCTGTTTGGGTGAAGTTCCTTACTTATTCACATTTACAATCGGACACATTTATGTAAGTTACATAAATAGATCAAGGAGAATATATTTATGACCTTTTTTTCCTTTCAAACTTTAATAATTATTTTTTTATTTATAGATTAAAATTAAATCAAGGATTCTTAAGTAATATCATTTTGTCGCTATTGATTTGATTTTAATCTACCCATCATATATAATAATAGTAATAAAAGGTTGTGAGGGAAAAAGTTTATACGTGTAACCTTCCTCTAAATAAACTACTAATATAACTTTTTTATTTTATTTTTGAATGGTCTAACCTCGCTATGACCAAACAATCATTATCCTGAAGTCACTTAAGATGTCACATTATATTTGGCTTAAATTAGATTTTTCTAATTAATGTTTAATGCTATTTATGCTCAAAATTTGCAGGAATTACCAGAACACCAACGAAGTGATGCGGTTAGTTCGATGGTATATGAAGCCAATGCAAGGGTGAGGGACCCTGTGTATGGATGTGTAGGAGCCATATCCTCTCTTCAGCAACAAGTTGATGTGCTCCAAACCCAATTAGCAATGGCACAGGCAGAGGTTGTGCACATGAAAATGCGCCAATTCTCAACTTCATCAAATCAGCAGCAACAATCAGTGCCTCATGCAGCCTCCAATTCATCATCAGAGAACATATACCAATCAAGCAGGCTCATGTCTTCACAGACCAAGTCCCTTTTTGGCATGGACACGGTCGTTGATCAAGCCAACATGGGACAATCCTTATGGTCATACTAGCTTAGCTTATGGAGTGCTTATATATATATATATATATATATATATATATATATATATATATATATATATATTACTGGGCATGCATGCCTTCACTTTGTTTATATTCTTATGATTATTACTATCACGGGCTTGCTTTATTGTCTGCCTCATTTGTAACTTTTTTTTGCTTTTGTATCCCTCACTTTTTTCCATATCCTCTTTCTTATGACTAAAAGGACATCTATGATCTCTCTACATTACCAAGAGATGATGATGATTAGTTAGCTTGATATGTAAATGTCTAAACTTGTAATTATGAGTAATCATATCATTAGTATTAAGTTGACTATACTTTTTACCTCCTCTTCACGTTCAGTCTGATCCGTATGTGTGAATCAAATTCATTTTGGTATATACATTTTACTGAGAGAGAGAGAGAGAGAGAGAGAGGAAAAAGAAAGGCTTAATAAAGCTTGACCGCCGTGACAATAATTGATTTCTTATGAATATCATTGAAAATTTAGTAAACAACTTTTTCTTTTTCGTCTTCCTTTCTTCACATTTTATTCATTCCAGGTGAAATGATATTAATTTCCGAAGTAGTAATTACATATTAACAAACTCTTTTACATATTACTTAGAATCATTATGAACTTTTATAATGACCCCATAAACTTTTGAAAAAATGGGCCTTATCCACTGTTTGATAAACCCCTTTGTAAATGAAGAGTTAAACCTAACAAATAATTCTCTTGAAACCTTAGCCTCTCTAATTGTTACATTGCATACATATCATCCCATTTGATTTTCTATTTATTGCTTGTGCATAAATGATTTGCCATCGCCTATGGCTGTTTCCTCCATAAATATCACTAGTCTGTAAATCCCACAGTAACCATGACCCTCTAGGATCAAACAAGAACTAATGGTATGTGGAGAAAAATAGTTGAATCTACTAAAAATAATCTCTTATCTTCAAGTCTCGGCGACGGTATGTAACATCCGGCCACTTGCAAACATCAACGACTATCCCCACACACTAACACGAGATTTTTCAGCGTGCTTTGTCCTCACTCGCACACTTCCCGGAAAAATTTCCCAGGAGGTCACTCATCCCAGAATTGCTCCAAGTCAAGCACGCTTAACTGTGGAGTTCTTCCGATCTGGGCTACCGAAAAGTAGATGCATCTTGTTAGTATAGGTAGTACCAATTAATTCTTATAAGCTATCCTCAACTGTGCTGTCCTATACCAGCACAATCTCTGGAATCTCTCTCTTTCCGGTGTTATTCGATTCATTCATGTACCCCTCCCGCTGATAGTACGCTAGCTCTTCCACTAACCATACATTCAATTGTACATTAGCTCTTCCACTAACCATACAATTGTCAGCACTCGGGATGTTACATGCCCACCAGCTTCCGCCTGGTTCGTCCTCGAACCACACCGTACTGGATGAGAGGCCCTGCTCTGATACCACTTGTAACACCCGGCCACTTGCAAGCATCAACGACTATCCCCACATATTAACACGAGATTTTTCAGCGTGCTTTGTCCTCACTCGTACACTTCCCGGGAAAACTTCTCAGGAGGTCACCATCCCAGAATTGCTCCAAGTCAAGCACGCTTAACTATGGAGTTCTTGCGATCTGGGCTACCGAAAAATAGATGCATCTTGTTAGTATAGGTAGTACCAATTAATTCTTATAAGCTATCCTCAATTGTGCTGTCCTATACCAGCACAATCTCTGGAATCCTTCTCTTTCCAGTGTTATTCGATTCATTCATGTACCCCTCCCGCTGATAGTACTCTAGCTCTTCCACTAACCATACAATTGTCAGCACTCGGGATGTTACACGGTACACTTAGTCTTATAATTTTCATGAGTTAAATTTAACTAAAACAATTACCTGGTAACGCTTGAATCTCTCAATGATTAAATTGATATCAGGTTATCAACCTAATCTTTTAGAGACTAAAATAATGGTTTAGTCCAATAATAATTGAAGATTAATCCACCAATACAATGTACCTAACAAAATTCTAGTTGATTATATAATGCTTTAAGATAGTTACGTGTTACCAAATGGTGGTAGCTCAGTTGGCGCATGGAAGCTAAGCAGGTGGGGGTGAGAGCATGTGTTCGAATCTCTCCAGTACCATCTTTGGGAGGGGTTTAAAGTCTTAATCCTGGACCTGCCCCGAATCGGATTAGTTGCAAAGCAATGAACCGATTGGAATATTTCAAAAAAAAAAAAAGAATAGTTACGTGTTGTTTTTAATTTAATTTTAATGCATTGGTAAAGTAAGATTTTTAATTTACATTAATTATGAATTGTCAAATGACTGAAAAAAGATTAGCTGTTATTATTAATTTTAACTTTTTAAAAATTATGTGTGAATACATTATAAAATAGGATTTGAAGTTTGTTATTTTAAATGACATAAGTTGTGTCATTTTAAGAGAGAGATAGACACAATGAATGAAAATCATGGGGAGAAATTGAGTGGTTTTTTTTTAATTTAAATTTTAAACAAAAAAATTATTTTGTGTCTAACTTTCTCTTAAAATGACATAATTTTATATCATTTAAAATGACAAACATTTTTCCCTATAAAATAATACTGAAACAATTTAACTCTAATTAAGAATACAACAAATTTGACTTCTCTTTATGGTTTTTAATAGTTAAAGAGCATCTTGTAAACATATAGTGTAAAATTAAGTAAATCTCTTTCTTGAATGGATTATATGAGAACAAACATTATGGTTTAGATATATTTAATTAAAATTCGCTTAATCTTATGGTGTGGTGTAAGTAGAGTAAATATGCTTATAATATTTTGACATTACCCCAAAATTCTTAAATCTCCATGGGTTGTGTTACAATTGTTCTAAGGTCCTAATTAGGCTTATCGTTACGCAGAATCAATTTTGTGAAACTTGGGGATATTTCCATCATTGGGCGTACATAAAAGCAACAAGGGCAAAACCATGGCATTAGTCCATTGCCAATAAGTAGGACAACTTTAGCACGCCCGAGATGATCATGATTAAGTTTTCCTTAATTGCTAAGAATAAGAAAATACTTCATTATAACTTATGATTCATTATATAGAAGGGTTACATCATTTGAAGCACTTTACCCCTACAGGCAACAAGACCCAAACCCTTATCTTTGTTCTCATGAATATACGGAAAAATTCTTGGATACATCTAATAGATAAGTGGTTTTCACTATGTTAATTACTATTAAAGAGTTCCATAATATGTATTTTGTATTTTAAAATAATAATATATTAATTATTAGTTGGCGTAGTGACGCTAAATATTTACATTATATACGCACAAGAATATCTGGACTGTACTAAACACCATATTTCAAATGAAAAATGTTTTGTGCACACCAATTTCATCATATCATTTCTTACACCTTAGTCCTTAGCGAAAAATTAATTGTGTGTTGAAATGTTTTTCTCTTATTTTAATACATTATATATATATATATATATATATATATATATATATATATATATATATATATATATATAGGTAAAATCATTTCTGCAGCCGGTTTACGTACAGCAACAACAGGTATATGGTTATGATTTTTCACATTTAATGCTTTCATCTTTTGTATGGTTATGATTCCCCGCATTTAATGCTTTCAAGTATATATATATATGATGTTTCTCATGTTATAACAGATAAAATTTTCCACACGCACATAAAAGTGGCTGATGCTCATGTGAGGAGAAGAGAGAGAAAAAGAAATTATGAACATCACTTACTTTTAAATGTATGTAGGAGATAATTTTATTTCCTACAACATAAGAAATATTAAATACTTATATATATATATAGGTAAAATCATTTCTACAGCCGCTTTACGTACAACAACGATAGATGTATGGTTATGATTCTCCACATTTAATGCTTTCATCTTTTGTATGGTTATGATTCCCCGCATTTAATGCTTTTATGTATATATATGGAAAATATTTGATTGTTGCACGTACAGCAGCTGCAGAAATGTAAATCTCATATATATATATATATATATATATATATATATATATATATATATATATATATTGGAGGTTATGTTGTTGTTACATATTTTGAATTTAAAGTAATAGGAGTTATTGCGTTTTGTATTTAATAGGAGCTGATTGCGTTTGTTAGCTATTGCAATTTTACGAGTTGGTTATAGATTGTCGCAAATTCAAATTTTTTTGTAATTTGTAATTCTGAGCCTATATATGGGCAACATTTTAATGAAATGAGCAAAAGTATAGATACCAACTTTTATCATGGTATCAGAGCTTCAGTGACTACAAGGTCACGAGTTCGATCCTCACCCCCCACTTTCAGGTGGAATTAAGAAAAGCACAAGTTAGACAAAAAAATGGGCATGTGCAGCACAAGGCAGACCAATAATGGGCTTGTGTCATATCCACGCTTAAAACCCAAAGGGCTCTTACGTGAGGGGATGTGTTTCAGAGATATAAAATAATCAATTTAGCCTCACCCAATACCTTAAGATTTTGGGTTGAAGTGACGCTTATCATGGTATCAGAGCAATTTATTGTTCTGATAAATTTGTTGCCATAAAAGTTGGAATATGCAATAAAAGGGTTTAGATGCCTCCATAGTATAAATTACATTCAAAATTCAAAATATGTAACAGCAACATAACCTCCAATATATATATATATATATAGGTAAAATCATTTCTACAACCACTTTACATACAGTAACGACAGGTGTATGATTATGATTCCCCACATTTAATGCTTTCATCCTTTGTATAGTTATGATTCCCCGCATTTAATGATTTCAAGTATTTGATTGCTGCACGTACAACAGTTGTAGATATATAGGTAAAATCATTTCTACAGTTGCTTTACATACAGTAACGACAAGTGTATGATTATGATTCCCCACATTTAATGCTTTCTTCTTTTGTATGGTTATGATTCCCCGCATTTAATGATTTCAAGTATTTGATTGTTGAACG